TATATGGGCACACACACCTCCCCAGACCAAACAGCAAAGGAGTGGAGAAGATACTCATTCAAAGAAAGAAAGAGGGATCAAAAAAGAGAGAATCCCGACCTAGAAAATTAGTGGCGCAAAGCCAAGCAATCACTCTGGGCCCCCTAAAAAATTCTGGGTAGAGGATGTACCTTCTTAGGAAGAAAAAAGAAAGGAGGACAAAGCCACCCAAGTGGCCCTGCCTCTCCCAGGAACACTGCAACGGGCCTGGCTCTATGTTCATTCAACAACCCTCTGTCCTGGTTGGGTCTAGAGAGGACCCCTAGATTACAAGGCCTCCGCGTTCCCCAATGCAGGGGCCTGACCACACCTCCCTACCTCCCCTCTTCCCTTTTACCTGCTACTGTCCTTTGGGACTTTTCCAAACAGCAACTTCTGGAGACAGCCAAAGAGATCACGAATGCAGAAGGTGACCAGGGCATTGAACACTACAATGAGGGGACCACAGATGCCATTCACAGGACAGAAGACGGAACAGAGGGCCTGTATCCCGCGTCCCCTCGCCCAGCTCACCAGCACTGTCCGTGACCTGGAATTTGCTGGCCTCGGCACCTTCCTGGTCTCCTTGGGTGGTGGCCACAGCAGCTCGGAACGCCTGCACGACTTCGTGGAACAGCTTTGGAGTAAGGTGATGCTAAAGGGGTTAAGAGGACCCAAAATGTCGGTGGGGGAGTCAGCTGTGTCAGACAGAGCATGAGGCAACCAGAGCTCCAGAAACCTGCTCTGAAAGAGAAAGGTGCCCCCTTGCCCACACTGTGAGACGTGGAGCAGCGGCGGAAGCCCTGTTATGGAGACACATGCAGGGAACAGAGAGAGGAGTCCAGAATGTTCCTGGAAGGGAAGGGAGCCTGGCTCAGGGTCAGAGGGGAGAGGCTGAGGGCCGGAGACCTGGGTGGCAACCTACGACAGGTGGTATCCCGAACTCTCCCTTCTGTCCTTTCCTTTTCCCACAGAAACCAACGCAAAAGCCTTGAAGAAGGGCGCTGGCTCCAGGGACCAACAAAGGCAGAGCATGTCCTGCCCACAGTGGATGTCAGGCACCGGGGAGCACCTGAGAGGGAAGCTGAGGGGAAGAAAGCAGAAGAGCCCCTAGAATCTCTGACCGAAGGACAGAGTGCAATCCTGGAGCCCCTCAGCATAAAGAAATGTGCTAAGCAGGACTCCGCGCCAGGGCTCAGAGAAGGCCTCCTCCCACCCTCCTCCGCCGGACGGCACAGATCCAAGCCACTGCAACGAGGCCAGGGCAGACTCCTTTTAAAGCAGGCGGCGGTGGTGTCCAACTGCCCACCCCATGCCGCGCCTCACCTCTGCCGCCTGCTTCCATCCCTCAACCATCGCGAGGGTCACAGGAGCAGAATCCCTCTTCTTCCCCTTCAGTCCTCGGGGGGTCCCACCCTCATCCGCATCTTCCTCCTCCACGCTGGCTTCCTGTACCAGACAGAGGGCCAGGCTAGAGCAGGGGGCAGGGGCCCTAAGTGTGCCCCTGCCCCCACCCGTCTGGCCTAGGTCCTCACTTCCAGCGTGTCCGGCAGGGAGTGGAGCTGACCCTCTTCGTCCTCCGCGCTGTCTGAGTCACTGAAGTCCAGCAGGCTCTGGTCGTTCTCCTGCAGGAACCTGTAGAACTCGGGGTCTTTGTCCTTCAGCCGAGAGAGCTGGTCCTTGTGCTCAGATGCTCGACCTTTACGCCGGCTAAGAAGGGGGGGTCATCAGGCACAATGGGCGGCGCAGCCCACAGGGGTGGGGGCACAGGCTTCTTGGCCTCCGCACTGTAAGCTTGCCAGCCTCCACAGAGAAGCCGCAGGGCCTGAACGGCTCCCTCCACGAGGGCTGCGGACAGCCAACGCAGGGCAGTTTCCAGGGTCGCGTTCTCAGCAGATCCCCCTCCCCTAAACTCTGGACGCACGCATCGGACAGCCTCTCTATGCGCTCCAACCCCTGCATGTCCCACACGGCCCCGCGATTCTCCCGAACTCGCTCCGCCCACACTCTGCTCCATCTCCCGCACCGTGACCCGACCTCTGCAGGCTCTCAAGGGAGAGACGCCGCGCTCTCCGGCCAGCATGCAAAGTGCCATGAGCTCTCACCAGCAACACCCCTTCAAAGCCCTCAAGCTCCTCATAAACCAGCACCACCTCTCCACCTCCCGCCTGCCACAGCGGTCTCTCCCTACCTCTGCACCCACCGCCTCCAAGCTATTCTCAACACAGCAACCCAAGGGACCCTGTGTGTTCTGTCTTGTGACACGACTCACGGCTCAAACGCTGAGAGAAATTCCCGTTTTACCGGCACGTCGCGTAAGCGGCCTGCGAGGTCTGACTCCGCCATCATTTCTCCAGGGCCACCTCCTACTCTCCCTGTCACTCCTCCCTTGTAAGACTTGCCCCCACGTCAGCAGCTCCGCCGCTCCGAATCCCCGAAACACTGAAACACCACAGCATTCTCCCCCGTCTGCGTGGCCTCCTCCCTCGGGTCTCTGTCCCACGAGCAGCTCCTCAAAGGCCCTTCCGCACCAACAGCAACAGGGGCCCGCGCACCTCCTCCCCATTTCTCTAACCCCGTCTTCCTGCGCCGTTTGCCGCACTTCGTCTTCTGGCCCTAACCGCGCCTCTGCTTCACCCGGGCTGCCGAACCTCTTCCAGACCGGAAAGGGACCCTTTCATGACGCACCAGTGAACGCCCCAGATACGGGCTGTCCGGCGCCTGGGGGCGCCGTCGGTGAAGCGCCTGCCTTCGGCTCAGGCCACGGACCCTGGGATCGAGTCCCGCACGGGGCTCTCTGCTGAGCCGGAAGCCTGCTCCCCCTCCCTCTCCCCCTGTCCGGGCGCCTCTCTCGCGGCCAAGCACGTGGCTGACGGCTCTCTAAGGTGAGGCATGAAAACACAAGGGAGTAAAAGGAGGCTCGTCACAGCAAACGCTGGAGGAACGAACGAGCCCAACGTCTGGGGCGGGGTCGGAGGCCCCCAGTCCCCACCCGCGTGACGGGCCAGGACAGTGGAAAGGGTTTGGCCTCACGTACGTCCCGCGGGGGACGCTCCCCTCACCTGGACGAGGGGCTCCCGCCTGGCCCATCCCGTCTCCGATCGGCTCCACGCACCGCCCGCGTCCCGGCTCCCGCGGCTCCTTCGGACTCGGACTCAGAATCAAAGCCCGAAGCCAAGAACTCGTCCACTGTCAGCTCCGCCAGGCGCCTGCGGGTTACGACCGCCGAGTCAGGCCTCCCCGCCGGCCCGGCCTGCCCAGCCTTGCCGCACCGGGGACACGGAGATGCTCCAGGAGGCACCGGAGGGCCCAATCGGTCCTCGGACCCCCAACTCACCGCTTGCCGGCCCGCGCCGCCGCCATCGCCGCCCGCCCGCAGCGTGCGCCCCACTTCCGGCCCCAGAATGCTGTCCGGCAGCCGCACTTCCTCCGGGCCGGCCCCGCCCTCGGCCCCGCCCCGCCGCGCCCCAGTGGTGGCTCTAAGTTTCTCCAACGGAGGCTCCGGCGGCATCCAGGCGGGAGGGCAAGTTCACATCCTCTGTGCTCCGGGCTCCCAGGGTGGCCGGCCGGATGGAGGCTAATGGCGCAGGCCGGACTCAGTCACGGCTCCCGCACACATCGCTGAGTGTCGGGCTGTCGATCTCGAAAGTCGGGCAGGACTGCACAGGATGGAACGCTGGCCTGCTGCTCACGAATCACCTGCCCCAGGGAAGACGAGGCCCAGGACCTGGGGCACCCTCTCCCCTGCTGCCCACAGCCTCCCCAGAGCTCCAGAAGCACGTGCCTGGAAGGGGGTCAATGCACAGGCGCCGGACAAAATGCGCCCCGGGGAAGACACTTGACAGACAGGACTCCTATGCAAAGAGCTCTCACGAATCAGTAATAAAGAGCCCAGCTTCGCAGGAAAAGCAGGCTAGCCGCGTAGGCAATGCCATCGGTGGGCAATTCGCCGGGAAAAAATGACGCTCTGATGGCCAGGCCAGTCTCGCCTGCATCTAATGAGGGTCAGAATGATGAGAGTCGCTTCTACTTCACTGGACAGGCCACGGCGGGGGTGGGGGGGCAGTGGACAGATCCCGGAGCTGTTACTGAAGCCCGTTTGGCCAAATCGTCCGGGAAGTACTGCGCCGGATACTTGGGTCCTCCGAGTCCTCCGCCGGGAATTTGCCTAAGTCCACAGTGTGGGCTGGGCGGGAGCGGCCACTCTTCCCTGCCCCGCCTGTGGGAAGGGCGGGTACAGAAGCCCAGAGGCCGGAAGGCTGCTTTGCAGAAGGGGCGGGAGAACCAGACGATGCCCTCCTATCCCCGCCCCCTAAAGGGCCGGAGTGTGTGGGCCTGGGACGCCCGATCCCACAGGCTTCTTGGGAGCAGGCGTGACTCCTGGCAGATCCCCCGGGCCCTGCGCCCCCGCCCCACCCCCACCCCGCCGCTGGCGCCCAGTCCCAGGCCTGATACTTGTAGGGGTTCACGGAGCGAACCCAGCGAAGGCCGACCCCGGGCTGGGGTCACAACGGGGGCAGGCAGAACGTGGCACCGAGCTGCCACAGGCCCCAAGGGCAGCAGGGCCGTCCAGGGTGCTTACGGGGGCGGGGCTTCTTAAAGGAACAGGCGGGGATGGACGGTCGGGGTGGCTTCTCCGACGTAGGCGGCGGGCGGGGCCGCGGGGGCTTCCTGGAGGAGAGAGCGGGCGAGGCGCCCGGACGTGGCTGGTAGGATTGCAGCGCTGCGTTCCGTCCGCGAAGACGCGGGCAGCGCGGGAGGCGGGGCGGGCGGCGCCGAGAAACAGCGGCTGCGGGCGGGCGGGCGGGAGGCGGGAGCGAGGGACGCTGAGCCGGCCGCCACCGCCTAGCAGCCCTCCGGCAGTCGGAAGTCCGTTCATCTGCGCGTTCTCCGCGGGTCGCGGCGGGTCCGGCAGCCGAGCCCATGCAGCCGCGCGGCGAGCGCCCGGCTGGCAGGACGCAAAGCCCAGAGCACGGCAGTCCGGGGCCTGGGCCGGAGGCGCCGCCGCCGCCGCCGCCGCCGCAGCCGCAGCCGCCGGCGTAAGTGGGCCGAGGGCCTGGGGACCGTGAGCCAGACCAGGGGGTCCGGGAGGGATGCGAGGAGGGGCGTGCGCCCACCCTGGCTGGCTGCCCGGAGGAGGAGGCCTCGGCGCCCCGCAGGCTCGGCCCGCCCCTGGAGGTACAACTCCCCCCGTTTGTCGCGCACGCAGCGACGTGGAACCGGGCGCGCACAAGTGGCAGCTTCCCGAAGGCGCTGTCCTCTCCCGCCGTCCTTGAATTCTGGCTGCGCCGCTCAGACTTGGGCGACTTGTCTGCAGGATAGGGAGGAGGCGGGGCGGGTGGAGCCGCTGGGGAGGGTCAGGTGAGGTTCGACCTGCTGGTGGCATAGGGGCCGTCTTCAGAGCTGTCCTGAAGCCTTAGCCAGTCGCGCTTGGTGCACATCCTGTGTGCCCAGCCCCTGCTGAGGATACTGGACTCTGATGGGGAACGGGAAGGGCGGCCAGTGACAGAGGAGCGCCTGGTCCCAAAGAGGGCGAAGGGAACTTGGTTCTTACAAGTTACGGGCAGAGACGGGCTATTCTGTGGGGACACCTGCGCAGAGGGGAGTATGGTGCCAGAAGGGGTCCTGGCAGAGGAAGCTGCGTAGGGCCAACGCTGGCATCTGGTGCGACTGGACCTCACCGGAGGAGCAGGTGTGGGTCAGTTTTGCTGCACTTCTAGGGAGGCCCCTGTATGTGAAGGAGGGGGGGGGGGGTTCTGATGGAAGCCAGGTAGGGGCTGTCAGGGAGGGGGGCTGCCACCCAGGTGCCCTGGCCCTGCCTGCAGTTTCAGGGGTGGGTGAGCAGCTCCCTGCCGCGTGCATCTGACCTGGCCCTGCCCGTCTGCAGCCCGGAGGCAGAGCGCGCGCGTCCTCGCCAGGCCCGGCCCACGGCCCCAATGGAGGGTGCAATGCAGCTGCTGAGCCGTGAGGGCCACACCGTGTCCCACAACTCCAAACGGCACTACCACGATGCCTTCGTGGCCATGAGCCGCATGCGGCAGCGTGGCCTCCTGTGTGACATCGTCCTGCACGTGGCGGCCAAGGAGATCCGAGCACACAAGGTGGTGCTTGCCTCCTGCAGTCCCTACTTCCACGCCATGTTCACAAGCAAGTACCCCCACATCCACTCTGGGCACTCGGGGGGCTCTTCAGATCTCCCTGGGCAGGGACCGGCCTGACCCACTGTCCCCACAGATGAGATGAGTGAGAGCCGCCAGACGCACGTGACATTGCATGACATTGACCCTCAGGCCTTGGACCAGCTGGTGCAGTTTGCATACACGGCTGAGATTGTGGTGGGCGAAGGCAACGTGCAGGTGAGGCTGCCTGGTCCCTCCCTCAGTTTCCCTCTCCCTCAGTCCCTCCCACAGCTCCGCTGGGCCCCTGTGCCTCAGCTCCTGGTGTTTCCCTGTGCCTCTCCCGCAGTCCCTCATGGCCCGTTTCCCTGCCCCTGCTCCCCTGGCTCTCTCTCTCTCTCTCGTGTCATCCCACAGACTCTGCTCCCAGCTGCCAGCCTCCTGCAGCTGAATGGCGTCCGTGACGCCTGCTGCAAGTTCCTGCTGAGTCAGCTCGACCCCTCCAACTGTCTGGGCATCCGGGGCTTTGCTGACACGCACTCATGCAGCGACCTGCTCAAGGCCGCACACAGGTACGTGCTGCAGCACTTTGTGGATGTGGCCAAGACCGAGGAGTTCATGCTGTTGCCACTAAAGCAGGTAACGTGCCAGTAGGGGCACCACCTCGACCCTGACCCAGTCCCTAGACCCTGGCCCAACCCCAGGACTCCTGGCTTCCTTCATCTTAGCCCTTCAGACCTGGCCCTTTGCCCCCCAACCCTTATTTCCAGCCTCTGACCCGCATTCCAGCCTCACTACCCATCCCCTGCCCTCTCCCCACCCCACCCCCACCATACCCCCTTCTTCTGACCCACCCAAACCTTCAATTTTTGACTTCGGATCCCATCCTATTCTGACCACATCCCTGCCTACAGCTTGTGGGCCCTGGTTCTGCATCCCTAGGATTGTTCTGAGCCTGGGCCCGTGGGAACCGAGTCTGTGGTTCCTGACCCTGCTTGGTCCCTTCTTGTAGGAACACTGGCCTCCCCATTGGACTCTCCCTCCTGGGCACCTTCAGGGCTCCATGGGCCCCCAAGGTCCTCCCTAGATCTCAGGTCTGAGGGTCCCCACCCCTAGGTGCTGGAACTGGTCTCTAGCGACAGCCTGAACGTGCCTTCAGAGGAGGACGTCTACCGTGCCGTCCTGAGCTGGGTCAAACATGACGTGGACGCTCGGAGACAGCATGTGCCAAGGGTGAGGCCAGCACCTAGGGGCCCACTGTGCTTAGGCGGGGACACATAGCGGCTGAGGGCCTGGGTGCCCCTGGGGTCTGCTCTGTACAGAGACCCCCTCACAGGAGTGATGCAGAGACGTTTTTAAGAAGAGCCAGCATGTCTGAGGGGGAGCTCTTCCCTGGGGCCTGCCGCCTGACCGTGGCACCCCTGCCTCCCAGCTCATGAAGTGTGTGCGCCTGCCCCTGCTGAGCCGGGACTTCCTGCTGGGCCACGTGGATGCTGAGAGCCTGGTGAGGCACCATCCTGACTGCAAGGACCTGCTCATCGAGGCCCTCAAGTTCCACCTGCTGCCTGAGCAAAGGGGTGTTCTGGGCACCAGCCGGACGCGGCCCCGGCGCTGTGAGGGCGCCGGCCCCGTGCTCTTCGCCGTGGGTATGTTCACCTGCCTTGTCCCCTCGGGTCCAGGACCCTCCCCAACATGCTCCCCCTCTCCTCTCCCATCCCTGACCTGTGTTTCTGTCCCTGAGCCCAGCACAAGCCTACCTCATACCGCGCTGGTCACATCCTGTCCCCACCCCACACCTGCTCTTCTGTTCACCTGTGGAGGACCCCATGTGGTATGACCCACTCACCAATCCTCATCCCCACCCATCCTGGAGCCCCCGTACTCTTGACCTTGAGCTACGCTAGAGACCCTCAGCCGTGCCTCCCTGGGTCTCTTGTCCTGCCCCGTCACTGCCCCATTCCTAGGTGGTGGGAGCCTGTTCGCCATCCACGGAGACTGTGAAGCATATGACACGCGCACTGACCGCTGGCACGTGGTGGCCTCCATGTCCACGCGCCGGGCCCGGGTGGGCGTGTCAGCAGTTGGGAACCGGCTGTATGCTGTGGGTGGGTAAGTGTGGAAGCTGGTTTGGGGTCAGGGGCTTAGCGTATGCCCACTGGGCCAGTCCTGACCGGCAGCGGACCCCTCCCCTAGTTACGATGGGACTTCAGACCTGGCCACCGTAGAGTCGTACGACCCTGTGACCAACACCTGGCAGCCTGAGGTGTCCATGGGCACGAGGCGCAGCTGCCTGGGTGTGGCTGCCCTGCACGGGCTCCTGTATGCAGCTGGTGGCTACGATGGGGCCTCCTGCCTCAACAGGTAGTGGCCGGGGTCAGGGCCGGGTGGCCTCTTGGGGTTGGTGCGGCTGCAGGTGTGGCTGTATCAGGACTGCAGAGATCATGCCTGAGGGGAGCAAAGAGGGATCCAACCTGACTCAAGTCACCAGGGCACCCTGGGCCTCTTCATCTGCACCAGCCCAGCTGCCCCTTCTTTTCCTCTCAAGTTCTTCCCCCAGCCCAGGGGCTGGGCACCACACGGACACGTGCCCAGGATTGTGCAGGCGGCCAGCTGGGGGCCCCTGTCCCCACCCAGAGGGCCTGCTACTTGCTCCAGTGGGATTCTGGGATCAGTCTCTGTGACTGCCCAGGATGGGATTTTAATCATTCCATGGGAGAGGGCAGGTCCTGGGACCAGGGCAGCCTTTCTGCCACTGCTCAAGGTCAGCGGCAGGCCTGGTGTCCACAGTGCTGAACGCTATGACCCTCTGACGGGAACATGGACGTCCATCGCTGCCATGAGCACCCGGAGGCGATACGTGCGTGTGGCCATGCTTGGTGGGTGACAGGGCTTGCTCTGTGTAGTGTCCACCCCACCCCCACCTGCCCCCACCCTGGGGACCCCACCCATAGCAGGCACACCACGGGCACATTGACTCTCTGCAGATGGGAACCTGTACGCTGTGGGTGGTTACGACAGTTCGTCACACCTGGCAACTGTGGAGAAGTATGAGCCCCAGGTAGGAAACACACCCCGAGCCCATGAATCTCCCTTTCCAAGAGTGACTTGAGGTCCTCACTCCAGACACCCACATCACCCAGATGATCAGCCCTCTAGGTCCCACCCCGTCCCACAGACACCCTGTCCTAGAGTAGGGTTCCTGCACTGTGGAGGAGGAGGGAGGCTGGTGACGGGTCTGCCCCCAGCTGGTCCCCTCAACCGCAGGTAAATGCATGGACCCCCGTGGCCTCCATGTTGAGCCGACGAAGCTCAGCAGGGGTGGCGGTGCTGGAGGGGGCCCTCTACGTGGCCGGCGGCAACGACGGCACCAGCTGCCTCAACTCTGTGGAGAGATATAGCCCTAAGGCCGGTGCCTGGGAGAGCGTGGCCCCCATGAACATCCGAAGGTGCGCTGGCCCCTCCCCCACAAGTCCGGAGTGTCCCCCTGTCAACACTGCCCGCCGGAGATTCCCAGGTCTGCCTTGAGGCTCCTGCCAGTGTGATGTGCCCACGCCTCCCATCCCTGTATACGTCCCGCCCAGCTCCCGGTCCCGCCCAGCGCCCCGGCCCCGGCCCCGGCCCCGGAGGCTCCTCCCCCGGCTCCGCGAGGCTCTGAGAGCCGTTCTCGCCCAGCGGCTCACCTACCCGCCCCCACCCCACCCCCAGGAGCACGCACGACCTGGTGGCCATGGACGGCTGGCTGTATGCCGTGGGGGGCAACGATGGCAGCTCCAGCCTCAACTCCATCGAGAAGTACAACCCGAGGACCAACAAGTGGGTGGCCGCGTCCTGCATGTTCACGAGGCGCAGCAGCGTGGGCGTGGCAGTGCTCGAGCTGCTCAACTTCCCGCCGCCCTCCTCGCCCACGCTGTCCGTGTCGTCCACCAGCCTCTGACCAGCGGCGCGGACTGCCCAGAGGCCCGGCCCCGCGGCCTCCCACATGCCTTAAGCCCCACAGGGCGGCCCCAGCACCTCGCGTGTCGGGGGCGGGGTGCTCGGCCCCCACAAGAAAGTCCTGCCCTGTCTGTCCTTGTCTCTGCGTCGAGGCCGGCCACTTCTGTGTTCACTGCTCAGTGTGTGTGCGTGTGCGTGTGCGCCGTTTACTTACTTCCTGGTTTATTTATTTATTTATTATTTATCGGTCAGTGAACCGCGCAGCACCTACTAGTTCACGCGTTTCCCCTTGACGTGTCTTGTGTCTCTGGGACCAAGCTGCCTTCCCAGGTGTCCTGCCCCACTGGGGGCACCAATGAGCAATGGGGGTGGACACTTGGATTGTGGATGGGTCAGAGGTGAGCTCAGACTCTAGACCTGGAGGGACTGCGGGGGCAGGTGCAGAGCAGCAGGCCAGGGTTGCAGGGGTGGGGGGCGGTTTCTGAGCAGGTGCAGACCCTTCCAGCCTGGGTTTTGCACACCTCCCCTACCTTGCCCAGCAAGGCACACTCCCAAGAAGGGCATGATGCAAGCTTCCTTCTCGTGGGCATGGTGTGTCTTCTGGATCCTGCACTGAGCTGAGCACAGTGTGCCCCAGACCTCACACAGCAATATGAGCCAACTTGAACAATAAACATGTTTCTCGGGCTCTGTGGGCTTCAGGCTGAGTGTACATCTCCACCCTTTGGGGTCTTATCTGGGGTGACCAGGAGGGCCTGGGGACAGGTGTGCCGCTGGGCTGAGGCTCTGGTTTGGTATCTGGGTCCTTCAAGGCAACATCATCACGCCCAGGTGGGTCAGGGATGTGGTATCGTGCATGGGCACCCAACTAGGAGTGTGGTTCCCGGTCAGCCTGGCCCTGAGAGACCCTCATGGTCCCATCTCATCCCAGGCTCTGGGGAGAGAGGCATGCACGGTACTAACCCTACCTCACCGCACTGTGATGGCCCTGGGTGCACCCAGGAGGTTTGTGGCCCCCTTCTTGGACTTGGGCCTGGGGTGAGGTTTGGGCTGGAGTGGGAGAGGTTGGGGGAGGGTCATGGCTTCCCCTTGCCCAAAGTCACAAACTCCTATCTCAGCAGCTGAGAACAATCACACACCCCCTTACAGTCAGTGGTGACTCAGAATGCGGCCTTTAGGTGGAAACGGGATGTGTGCTCTCCATGGGGAGGGGTGGTACTGGGGAGAGGGAGCCCTGGGCTCACAGAGCCCCAACCCCGGGCAACCCCATCCTGAGTGTGGGCAGACTGAGTACTCACAAACCAGGCTTCCGAAGCTCCTCGCATACAGACTGGAGGCTGAGATGGGTGCTCCCGGCTGGACCAGGGGAGAAGACTCCTCCCCACCAACCCCCCAACTCCAGCCTGGCCTGCCGGTGTGGAGGACCCAGGTCAGAGAACTGAAAGCCTTGGGCCTAGGTCAGGGCTGGGTCCCTCCCAGAAAGGCTCCACCCTCATCCGGCCCTTAGGCAAGGGGCAAGCCTTCCCAGAGCTCCGCCTGGGAGGCGGGACAGGAGGCTCTGTACGGAGGGACCTGGTCGACCTGCTCCACTCGGTCCCGCCACCACCGCCGCCCATGGGGAACAACCACTGCGTCCCTCAGGCCCCTAGGAGGCTCCGGGCCTCATTCTCCAGAAAGCCCTCGCTGAAGGGAAATAGGTGAGGGGTGTGGAGCACAGCCTTGGTCCCCAGATCACAGGGGGGTCCCTCAGGCTGCCCCGGGGTCCAGGCTGTGAGCCCCCCTTCCCTTGTCCCCAGAGAGGATGGCGCAAGGAAGCTGGCCGGCCTGTTTGGCACCGAGGCAGGTCCCGACCCGGACGCCACCGCTGACAAGATCTTCTACTACATCCCTGGGCCGGTGAGCAGGCGGGTGGGCGTGTCCCAGCTCACAGGGTGCCGTGGTGGTGGTCTCTGTGGGACTGCGTGTACCTGTCCTAGCGTCCCGGGGCCCAGGGTCTTCCCTGTCAGCCTGGGGGGAGTCAGATCCAGAGTCAAGTGAGGAAGGAGACACCGCCCCGCCCTGGGGAGCTCACCTGGCGGAAATCCTGAGCGGAGAGCGAAACCGAGACACTGAGTCAGTGGGGCGGGCCGCAGGCGGGGCCTCCGGAGTCTCTGCTCCACCGGAGGGGGCGCCGTGACCAGGCTCTCCACCCAGAGCCTTACCTGGGGTGTCCACCCACTGCCCCCCACAACTTGGGTGCCAGCGCATCCGGGCACATTGGAGGTGGACCGGCATGTCTGTGTTGCTGTGTGGCATGGGGTTGTGCTGGCGCGGCGGCCGTCACTCCGCGGGAGTGAGGGGCTCCAGGTGCCCGCTGAGCCAGCCTCTCACGTGCTTCAGGCTTCAGTTTCTCCCAGGGGGTGTCTGGGCACCCACCCCTGCCCCATTCCATAGCAGCCCACCGTGATACCCCCTACCAAGGCCACACAGCAAGGACACGGCTCCCGCATGCTAGGCCACCTCTGAGCTGCATACTGCCCCCTCTCACCCTGCCCAGCTCCTGGGGAGCTAAGGGTTAGCTGAGAGGGGAGAGACACCCAGTCTTTTACCGCAACCTGGACTGCATCGGGTATGGCAGGAGGCTCTGCTATGTGCAAAAGCCCCAGAATGCGAGGGAAATGATACCCAAAATCTAACCCCAGGCCAGGGAAGGAGGAACGTTTGTCACTCTGGGTCAGAGCGCCAGCCCTGCACCCTTCTCCTCACAGTGTTCTTTTGAGTCCAGCAACTGGTGCGTGCTTCCAGAGCCCACCTTTCCAGCTTGTCCCCATCAAGCTAGGAAGCCCAGGCTTGTCCCCTTTCCTGCCCTCTGAGGTCCCAGGGCCCCATGCAGGCAAGTGCGGGCTTGAGAAACCATGCTGCCTCAGAGAGGTGGACAGGCGCTTCTGTCCAGGGTCTGGCTGGGCCGCGATAGAGCTCCTCCGCGTGACTGCATCGCACACCTCAACTCTGTCCAAGCCCAGGACACGTCATATGTGCCTGGTGGAATCACGTGAGATGTGGTGGCCCTGGTGGTCCTCTCTTGCCAGAGCATAGTAGCAGGAGAGGGGAGCAGGCCTGTTGAACCTGGGAGCTGGGGCTGGGGGAGGAGCCACCTCTTAGGCCCTCCCCCGTAGGGGCTTCTGCACCCCGCCAAGGCTCTGAGCTGACTCCTCCCTAGCCCCTAAGGCTGAGCCTGGGCCACAGGGAAGGCGGCATGGTCCTTCCTGTTCGTGGCCTATTTTTCATGGGTCCCATCCCTGCGTTGTTCCCAACACTGGGTGTGGATACAGGAGGCCCCACCCAGAGGGAAGGAGGCCTCGCATTCCTGGGCTTGCCCAAGGGGCAGCTTAGCTTGGCCAGGGCTCAAAAGCCCTCAGGGCAGCCTCTGCCAGCTCCCAAATAGAGCATGGCCCCTCCCCAACTCACCCCTGAGCCCCTAGACCTCAGCCCTTCTAGCCAGGGTGTCCAGTCAGTGCCCATCCCTATCTGACTTCCAATAGGATAATGGAGCCCCCAGTTAGGGTTCTCTGTGTGGCAGGACTGGCCAAGTGTTTGTGCCCCGACACTCCCTCCCCTCAGCAGACAAGCGGGGAACCCCCAGCACATCTCGGGCCTGGCCTACTTCTAGGGATACAGCAGTGGGCAAAACAGACAAAGACCCTCTTCTCTTGGTGTTCCCACCCACATGACAGAACCAGAAGATAAGACAGGTGAAAGACATGGTAATCCCAGATGCGGCTGGTGTTGAGAAGAGTAGAGGAAGAAAGGTGTGCAGAGGGGACGGGGAAGGCTACAGTGTGAGGTTACCAGACGGGACCTCACGGAGAAGGGTGCATCTGAGCCAAGTCCTAATGGGTGGGGGAACCGCAAGTATTGGTGTCAGCCTGTGCCTGATGTAGGAGAAGAGGACAAAGGGAGGAGGCAGATCAAAGAGGACCCCGTGGGCCAGTGCCGGGACCTCGGCCTTCTCTGTGGCTGAAGTCACAGTCCCGCTGCGGTGCGCG